CATCAGCATTTTTTTGTTGCTTGCATAAACAAGAGTTAGAATGTATCAATCACAAGAGGCACACCAGATGGGACGTTTTCTGAGGCTGAAGCTTGGAATAGCCTGGTATGATGATTCTTCTGAGCTATTATCAAAGTGAATTTTGGAATGTCCGACTCACCAAGATGTTGATAGGCCTGTGATGGAAAAACTTCAGCTGTCTCATAGTACAGCAGGCTCATTTGCTCATACATTTTGATCAATTTCTTTCACATTAAGTAATACAACACCAATGGGAATGAAATGTCCGCCCTCATAAGTCGACATAATTGTTTCCATGTTTGAACAAAAATAGATATATGATGCTTCAAATGAAATAAATTCAAATCATCACCTAAATCTCAAAATGATGTCTAAAGACTAGGAAGTGGAAAGCTACCTTGATGATTTGATCGAGCTCAATGTTCAAAACCTGAGAAAACTGTGACTCACTCACACCATCCCTGAGAGAAAGTAAATGACCATCTTCGATCAATGGAAATAAAAAAACTGAATATAAGTGGAGAACCATGGATTTTTTTTCTTTTCTTTCTCTCATGTTCCTTGAAGAATGGATGCTTTGTTAGTAACTCCCCTATATTGAATAAGTCAGACTATAAATGGTTATAGAAATTCAACATGAACAATGATTGACCAGATCTCAGCAAACAAATAAACTACGGCAGACATAAAACCTCAACTAGACAAATGCATCCTTCAAATTAAAGAAACTAAAAGTCAATTATGAAAATGTTAAAAACATGTAAAGTATCAAAAGAAACTACACAGATCTCAGAATAAATAGTTTGAACGGGGAAGCTAGATCACCTGAAAATAATGATTTGGGTTGGTTTACGCCTGTCACTGGTTTTATAAAAATCCAAAAGCAGTTCCCTGAAGCACACCAGCGGCACTTTCTCAGCATTAGCGGAACTACAATTTTTTCACACAATACCGTAGAAGTGAACTGCAAAGTTGAAATACTTATATATAAGTGAAGCACCTCATAATGCCATCATCATCTCCATTCTCCAGCGGCTTGAACAAAGACTCTATCATCTCCACCTTTGAGGATTGAGTTCTTACAGCTGCTCTGTACCTAGATATTAGTGGCCAACTTCGAGAACCTACAACCTAACAGTACGAATCGATAAATAAAGCATCCAAAGAATTAAACATGAATTAAATATTTTTGGTAATACTTATACTGCAGAAAGTTCTACGAGACAGCAAACATACAGCAGCAATTGATGGAATATCAGATCTACCAGGGGAACCGTGTGATACGCCCATTCCCAAGATCATGGTCGGCTTATCCATAATGAGCGGAATTCCGTGGGCCTGCTCTATCGCTAACAAAGAGTTGGTACCTCCTAGCTATGACAAAAATGAGGAAAATTATTACCCCAAAAAGTTTGAGAGTAAAGTTTAATCTTCTGAAATTTTACTCCAAAGTACCTTTGTATTGATTTTGAGTAGCACATTTGTTAAGTACTGATCATTGATCTTGGAAGGAGAAACACATTGATTGGGAATACCCAAGCTAGTCAGGCACTTTTTCTTCCAGGGACCTACATGGTTACCCAAACTCGGTAATATACATAATAAAGGAAAATGATAACTCTATTGAAAGGGTTACAGAAGGCGTGACAGCAGATTTACTACCATAAATATCACAAATTTTCCTCTCCGGCAGAACACAAAGCAGAAACTCAGGAGGGCTGGGTAACTTGGCTATAATCAGCTCAAACATTTGTTCTACGCGTATCACGGGGCTAGATTTTTTACAATGGTGATCTTCCTCGATTATTGTGTAGGGGCGCTCAATGTGCTGCATAAAGAAAATGAATAGATATAACATATGTAAAGTAAATAGAAGGAGAATATAATACTCCATACAATGCCCTTGTTCCTCCCACAGTTGATGAGTTCCCGTGAAAGGTGGCTGGTGTCACAGCGTGCAGAGAAATTGACGAGTGCCCAATGATTTATCTGGCTAGGGTTCAGAAGTTTCTGCNAAAAAAAAAAAAAAAAAGATCAAAACCAGAGAATGGATTATGACTAAAAGATCTTGTACTTCAGGAAACAAGATATGAAGAAGTATATCCTCAGTTTTGTCTGTGAACCACATTAACATAGACTGAATGCACAAAGGGTACCTTGTTATTGAAGTTCCACCTGCCATTACGTGGTACACAATCTTCACTATTGCCAACCTTCAACTGGAAGGTGACAGAGGTTCAGTCATTGTTTATATATAAAATGCACCACATTTATTAAAATAACTACCTTCGGTGGTTCTAAGACACGTGCATCTATTTGAGTTAGCTGCTTTTCAATTGATACACCACAAATGGCAAGAAGTGGATCCTCGTCATAATTGTAGTTTTTAACAGCCTGGGATGATCCAAGTTAGAAGTGAAATCACCATGCAACAAAAGATAAAAGTATATAAAGACATGGTTAAGAAAACTCTACATTGGTTACAACTTGAATTCTCTCAAGTGGCTTCTGCCTTGATTTTTCAACTATAGACGCTCTTTGCAATCCTGATAATGCTTTATTGTATCTCTGGAGAGAAACTAGAGAACAGAGCTGCATTTCCACCAAAAAAGTAAAACTAAGTTTTATAGAACAGGATGCATTAGATTTCATATAAAATAACATAAAGAAATATTTTACCTCTAGTGGCAGGTAGATTGGTCGTTTAGGTTTTCCAACATCAAGACATGGCATGTATGCTGAACATTTAGGCTCTATGTTATGGTGCTTAACAAAATAGTCATAAACAGAAATCTCCAGGGTCTCGTCATTGTCTCTGGCACTACTATCACTTTTCACTTTCATTGAGAAACTGAAATATACATATAAACATCAGAGTTTCTCTAACTAGGAAGTTAGCTCAGGAAAAAGGATAACTATTACTTACAGCTGCTGATTGCAAGGTTTCTCACTTAAACCAGTAATTTTGAACTCCCTATTACTATGGCTTGCCTTGATCCTCATATTCTTGAGCATCTTTTTGGCCTGCACTCCAAAGTCAGTGCCATGAGCCACTGCATATCCAAACAGTAGAAATAGTAAAATATTCGCTGTTGAAACTCTTATACCTTTAGCCAGTCAATATCTCGAGCTTCCTTCACGTTCTGGTTAGAAAAGAGGAAATCCACAACAGGTCCCGGTTTCAAGATCATGGTTGTTGAAACATCTGACAACAAATTAATTAGTGGCATAATTAATACAAAATGAAATCTTGCCAAAGCACTACGATAGGGCAAAACAGAAAAACAAAAAAGTAATACCCATGTTTAGAGATAAACCGCCAAGAGTTGGATGAAAGCTGGAATGGAATCCCCTCACACTTGTCACACCCCCTCCAATATCAGTGAAAGTCCGTGAATCGTCATGAAAGAATGATTGCCGAACCACAAGGCACCCGCTGCATGTTAAAGCTCACCATTTAGGTGCAAACCAACTGTATACAAGATGATGTATGTAAAGGTGAATAATGATGGGATTACCGATTAGCTGCTTGTTGCCTAAGAAGGATATCTAAAACACTCAGGACAGCTTGATCTTTTGGTGATTCAGCACCTTGAAGGGCTAGGGATATGGACTTCAACGGAATTTTAGAAGCAAAATTTATCTCCACCTTGAATGCTTTTGAGTGTATGAAGCTCTTAGACCTTTTGTTAGACTCCCTCGGGCTTCCATTATAGCAAGGGTCCCCACTATTGCGTAATGGATGAGATTTGTACAGAATTCAGGACGAACCAACAGAAGAAAAAAAAAAAAAAAGGAAAAAACTATAAATAGCATAAGCTTCAATTTATATGTTACCGCTTGGTAATTACAGAATCCTCAAGAATCACTGTAAAGTCAAGCTTGTTCTGTGGTAAAGGCCCCACTGTATACAGATTCTTTTCACCATCATATGCAAATCCCTTCCCAGAAAGTTGTGAAGAGTACAATTGGTACAATTGATCAATAACTTTTCTCCCAATAACCTTGTTTTCAACCATCCTACCATCTTCAAAACTAATAGAAACCTGCAATTAAGATAAAGTAGAAAAAGAAAATTATATGCATGCTGCATGTATAAACTAGAAAAACGATGAAGATACTGTATTTTACGTTGTATTGGAAAAAAACTTCGTCAAGATTTCTGATGGAAACTTTGAAGTGATTTGTGAGAACAGGTATTTGACGGCCAGAAGTCCCAAATCCAGGCCGTGTGATGATAGACTTCTTATGCAAGTCTACCGGTTCCAACTTCACCTCTGGTGGCAGAGTTATCAGTGGTGAGGCCAAAGGTGAAGGAGGATCATCCCCTGCTGTACCAGTAATTTCCATTTCTTCCCCTGCTGTACCATTAATTTCCATTTCTACTTTTAAATTGTAACCTAAAATATTTGAGCAAAATGTAAGTATATGCTCCATTCATATAACAGTAAATGAGAGAACAGATTTGTGATCGCTCATTCTATCAAATATTGGGCCAGAAATTAAAAATACAAACATTGCAGCAGTGCATATCAGCAATCAGAGTTATTCCAACAACAGCTGGGCCCATCAAACAGCCAAACAGAATGCACGACAGTACAATGAAAATATTCGACACAGTCAGACGTAATGTAATTGTACTAATGCCCGGGGATCAAGTTCATTAGAGCAAGTATCTTTGCCAAGAAAAAACACAAATAATAAAAATACAAGTAAAATCTGCAGTTGTTTCATGACATGGATCATCAAAACTCTAAGGCTACGTTTGGATGAGACATTTATTGAGGGATTTGAAATCTATAGATTTCAAATTTACAAGTTCAAATCCCCTGCATGTTAGAAGTTGGAGGATTTCAAATTCACGTGAGATATATTTTAGTCATTATTTTGAAGGATTTTAAATGATTCCTCAACACTAGTCATTTGAAATCCACTAGCTTATCCCACCGTTGACAAGCACGCCGTCCACGAGTATGACTCTTCATATAGATTTATCACCACCACGAGCCAACACCATCGATGCGAGCTAGAAAATGGATTTACATTCATTTCTACCCATTCAAGGAGTTTGAAAGTAGCAAAGAGTTCGAAATCAAGGGATTTTAATTCTCTCACTTCAAAGTTAGCCTAAAAGATTAACAATTAAGCTATTAAACCAGCAAAGAGATTAACAAAACAGGAAAATCACATGACAACAGCATCTTGTGAAAAATCAACTTCAGTATGTCAATGGAACCAGTCCAGCAGGGAAAAAAACTACTGTTGTTCAATTCACTAGCTCAAGGGTGAAGACATAAGACAAGTTAACTTGGAGAAGACAATGTATACTTGGCAAACACGATATTTACTGAAATTCTAAGTGCATTTACATCTACACTTGATTAACAGTTCCTAATGAGAAACCAATTGCTGATCATAATCATTTTCCTGATGAGCAATCATGTCACAGATGTGCATAATTTGTGTCAAGTAAAAGCCATACTAATTTGACAAAAACCCAGCACCAAAATAAATTAATAGAAAAGCCTTTCTTGACAATATAATTAATGAGAAAGAACAATCTACATAAACCCATCAACAAATGTATGATCGTGAGCTTGCATTGACGAAAGGACAGTAAATACAGACACAGTGTAATTGCAATGTTTCTTCATGAACCAGTCAAGTATAAAATACACACACGAGACATGTTCGGAAAACGTATATATATCACTTCCGCGATTCTTACACACCAATTCAGCCAGAACTTAAATATCAGCATCAATACTTCAGAAATGGTCTAAAAAACGTCAGTGCGGAATAAAAAATAGTGCAATGAGTCCTATAGCTCAACATGCATTCATGCTTATTCACTAACCCCACCAAAGCAAATAAATTCCTCCCACATGAACCAACAAGAAAAGTAAAACAAGTTCAAAACAAAACCTGCACAACAAAATGAGCTCAATCATAGGTCCAAACTAGGCAGCACAGAGAATCGATATTATATGGGCTCAACAGAAAACAGTGTCAAAATCCAAAAAGAAAAAAAGATTAAAATAATTATAACTCAAAACAAAAATTAACAATTCAATAATGTGGAGAAACATTACTGCTACAAAGCCAGAACTGAATGTAGCAAGATTACTCCAATAGAACATTAAGGTATGCACACACGTTTGAACAAACTTCCGCGCATGCCAGTACAGATCGAGTGTAAGGTCACCTGCGCGACGGTATTCAGATGAATTCGAGCAAACGGCTGCAGCAAAAACGATCTAAATTAGCACACAGATGCAGCACAGAAATGATTTGTACAATACAATAGTCGTCTGTGCCGCTAGTGCCCCGAGTTTCGCATGGAGAGAGTAAATGGAGGGAAGGACTCAAAAGATGCTTTTGGGGATTAATCTGGTGCGACGATTGTACATCGTCGATTGAATCTCAGCCGTCGATCGATTTGCACTGTTTTTTTTTTATTATTATATTAATCGGCGATTTGTTCTATATTACTTGATTCTTCAAAGTGACGATGATTGGCGCAGTAGCCGAATTTTTGCGGAAGAGATTTTTTATTTATTTCTTTATTTTTTTTGTATGCTTTGTTGTGATTGTGGGTAATTAATTTCTCGATAATTTTGTCCATTTCTCTTAAATGATCTGTAATTTTTGGCAGCTACACATAATTTAGAAATTGGAAATTGGTGGGAAAAAATCTAACCTTCCACAATATTTTTGTTTTTACTTTATCATATAGTTTTTAAGAGGTTAATTTCCTATAAAATCATCACATTTTGTATAATTACAAATAAAACTCAACTTTTTTATCTTTGCAAATAAATACCAAACATTTATTGGAAATCTGTCTCAAATTCATTTTTGGGTCAATCCTTGTTGACATGTCCGATCAAAAATTTTACATGGCACTTATGAGGCTTTTGTGGCACTAACCTTTTAAACTCATCACCATTTTTTCGCTACATCATATGCCAATAAATTAACCAAAATTGAGTTTACCACCAACAAAAAATCAAGTTCACCATGTTGTTGCTCCATTCTTCATTTACAAAAATCAAGTTCACCCCCAATTGAAAAAAAAAAATAAAAATTGCAGCGATTCTTCTTCGTGGCACAATTCTTCATCCCCAAAATCGAGTTCACCCCCAACATTTCAAATATATTTACGAGCTCACCCCCAAAGTTTGAAAAATTGGGCAGAGGGGGTTGCGGGCGCATAGAAGATATTTTAGTGTTTAAAGTGAAGAAACGAGAGACTTAGAGGTTTCCTGACTTTCGAGAACGGGTAAATTCTAATTATATTATGAGTTTTTAGGGTTTCAATTGTGAAAGGATTTAAATTTAGGATTCTTGAATTTTGGGGTTTTTCTTATCCATAATTTAGTTGGGGGAATTCGATATTCGAATTGAAACATACATGTAGGATTTTGGCTTCTGCAGATGGACTATGCAGATAAGCTTTGATGGATTTTGCAAGAACTAACAGAGGATTCTATTGCAAACGAACCCTCTGTTACTACAAAATTTAAGAATATGTGAGTGAAAGAGATGATGAGCCTTAGGGTGATTCAAGAATATAAACAAACAAATTACTGAAGATAAAACACAATGCAGGGATTTCCAGAGCAACATACATAATCGACAACTTTACAATTTTCCTCACTACCAAAACTGTGGTGAACTACACACATTTTACCGACCTGATACAACANGTTCCGCTGTGTGATCTGAGCTTACATATATACACCTAATGTTAAACCCTTGTAAAAAAGAAAAATAAATCTTCAGTTACCTTAGCATAGATTTCACATTGCCTTCTTGTTGGGGATTCTTTTCTGAAATCTTGCCTGCAGCAATGCAACTCAGCATTATGAAATGAAAATAAAGCAGCTATTAAAAAGAAAACAACATAAACAGTGTCCACTTTCAACTCAAAAGATATTAAAACTGTATGAGACCAAAACTGTGAACTGGAGAAAAGCAAACTTACATTTAACTTGAGTCTGTTCGCTTGGAATATTTTCGTTCGACCGTGCATCTTTTGCTGCTTGCAATATCCTCCGTGTAAACTCCACCACATGATTATAGATGCTAAATTGAAGTTCAGCAAGGAGGAAAATTATCAGCACAGAAAACTGCTGCTATAGAAAAAAGCAGATGACATATATTCACAAAGAAGCTCGATAATTTGTGGTCTAAAAGCAGAGATAAAGTAAAGAAGAAAAGACCCAACTCGACTTGTACCTTAGACGATGTCTGTTGCAGGTTGTGAAGAAAGCCACAAAACCATGAAGAATACTTCTAAGAGCTTTGAAAAGCTGAAGCCCACGTAAAAATAAAAATCAATCGATCAAAATGAAGAATTAAGCCGGTTGAGAAAAAGGCCATTAAGCAACACAACTCATAGATTTTTCATAAACCCACCTGTGAGAAAAGGTCTTTCCACAAAGAACGCCACACAGAGACCTCAACCGAGCTCACTGTCGTGTTAACCCCTTTCGTGAACTGGAATATTCCCCGTGCAGATAACCATATGTCGTCAAATAGGTCATACAAGAAAGCACACAGGACAGACACAAAGCTGTAGAGTCCGAAAATCAGCTTAAATGGACCATACAAGAGAACCCATAATATAGGGTATATGAAAGATGATGCTGCATTTNGAGAAATATACGAATCTTGAAGAAAAAAGCCCAACTGTAAGGAGAAGCAGATTATTAGCTCTAGCTCAACATCTGTAGTTACTGTACGCTAAACCAAGTTAAACTCAACTCACCAACATTCCAAACTAGCATCAAGATATACCAAACAGGAAGCACCAAAATCTCCACAAAATCCCCAACCACCGCAAAACAAGACTCAACCACCATCCAAACCACCGAACAAAAATCCACGACCAACCGCACAAGCATCATCCAGACGGGCACGAACATCTCTACGAACTCGAAAAACGGCTCGGCCATCGGGCGAACGAAAAACGAGACAAACTTCACAACAGTCCTAACCGCCACAACAAACCCTTTCACCGCCTTCTGAAAATTATGCAAGAACAGCATAGTCCCCAAGTACTTGATCCGTGAGATCATCTCCCACTCCTCGACCCAGTCGAAAAATGGCCCGAACAGATTCGAGGCCGCAGTTTTCAGAAGCGGCACGTTCTTGTACAAGTCATAGAACCCAATAAGAACAGTCACGATAGAAATAAGGACATAAATGCCCCTCGCCAGTGGACACATCCACGGGCGGTAAAGTCGACAGAAGCCCGGATAAGATTGAAAGAAAATGACCCAAGAAGGAAGCCCAGCCTCGAGAAGTGTGAGAAGCCGCAGTTTTGACATGATTATGTGCTTCAGCTCGAAAGGCAAGTCATGGTCATTGAATCTGAATAGAATGAGGACATCTCTGTAGAGGGTTGGCTCGTGGGTCGTTCTGTGGTCAATCGGTTTTGGGGTCTTTAGAAGGACTTCAATGGGGCCCGCATCAGATTCGCCTCCGGAGCAGATCCCGAGCTCTGAGTCGAAGTAGATGGAGCGCATGATTTTTCTTCTCTTGTTGGGTTTATCAGGCAATGTTTGTGTGTTGGGTGGGTTATCAGTAAGGAAACTTTCCTGAGCATCATGGTAAACTTCACCTGAAGTAAAAACCCATTGACTTTATACATTATATTGGTTATTTTTTTTTTCACCTAATTGTGTATCAAAATAAAAAATGCGAACAATTTGAAATAGATGGCTTCCTTGTTCACCTAGTAGTGTCGCGATTTTCTTGACGAGCTATAGATTTTAAAAGAGATTCGTAAGTTTGACAAGGTTTAGTAGTAAAATGAAGGATATACAATTGTATTTATTTACCTATCGTAGCATCTAAGTGTTCCTTCAAGAGAATACGATCACTGAGAGTACCGGGAAACCATGATCTTATGGTCTTGGAAGCTTGCGCTATACTGTCGAATTCCCACCTCCGCATGATTTTAGCCTCAATCGCAAGAGATGTATCAGTCTGAAAAAAAAAAGAAAAAAAAAATTACTCTCGATGCTAATAGCATGTGTTCTTATTTCTGAGCTATGTAGTCTAATTACCAGAAGGTCATTAAAATAATTAATGCCACGAACATCATCCCACGCAATCTCAAACACAATAAACCCGTAAAGCGTCCTATGCAAGTTGCTGTTCGCTATGAAAGAATTCCTTAGCTTCTTTACGGGTAGCAAAGCTCGTTTTCTGGACAACATCACAGCATCCATAAACGAGAACCAATTTCTGAAACTTCCTGATTCCCCTTCATCCGAAGAAGAAGAAGCTTCTAGCTCTAAAAGCTCGTTTTCTTTCTCCTTCTTGCCTCTCGTGTTGGCAAACGGGGATAACCTGGACTGCACAGTTTTTAGACAAATCAATAATTAGCATTGTTACAATTTTCTTGAAATATCGGTTAATTTTGAGTTAGTTTAGTGGTTTGTGTTCGGGATTAAAGGGAACCTTTGTGACCATGAGCTGCCACCAGTGAGTGGAGCGCGAGACGAGATCTTGCAGCCATGGCCTGTTGTCGACTAATATATAGAGCTTGCCGCTTGTGGGTGCTGGGAATAGATTGAGGTGCGAAAGGTAAGACTGCAAATCGCTGTGAAGGAAAATTTTCTCCATGAGCAATGAGATTATCAGATTAATAGCAGATAAACCAAATCGATCGACGAANCGCCATCACCAGCACCAACGGGCTCTCTCGAATTTACCCCAACCAACACCGCTCATAAATCAAGCTACATTCAACAAAAAAAAGGTAGAAGAAAAAATAAATCAGAAGAATGATAAAGGAATAGGGCGAGACTGAGTAATAAAACAGAAACAAAATTACCTGGAAAATGAAACTGGCCAAGAAAATCACATGGAAGGCCCTGAGATGAACCATGGAAGCAGAAACCAAAACAGAATAAAGATCTAATTTTGACGCGACAAAATCCTGTGTTTTTAGGTCGATTGAAAGCCCGCCAAAACTGTGAAATGGGAATAAAAAGAAAAGGTTGAACGATTACAGACTACAGATATTTGTAGGATTTTTTTTTTTTTTTGGTTTGCCTTGAAGAAGAAAAGATGGAAATATTACGAATGGAAGTTTTTGATGGTGGGAAAAAACAGGGGAAGGTTTGGTGCCAATATGATGTTCAGTTGACCCGGTAGTTATTTGTTCTTGTTCGGTTTTTTATTTTATTTTATTTTTTTTTGCGAACGGATCGACGAAAAGGCGGTTTGGATAAGGGTCATAATATGCATATTATTAAAATAATATTACTGTCTATACCTATCAACAAATTAACTGGTTGTAACAATATAAACTTGCCTCTTTGTCAAATTAGCTAAGGAGGTCGTCCTAGCAAACGAATAGAGAATTTATAAGTTAACTAGATAAATTATAAATTAGTTTATTTGTATACCAAATATAACTTTAACCTCATACCACATTAATGAAAATATTAAGAAAAAAACTAGAATTACGTCAATAGGACAATAGGATTCAATTTTTAACAAAACAGATCTCTCAATGTTAAGAATAAGAATCAAAATTTAAAAGGGATAAGTAAGTAATGACTATAATCTTCTTTATTTTCTTGGAGATTTGATTATCAAGTCCAAAAAACTGAATTTTTTTGTAAATTTTGACGATAGCTATACAACACCATTTCACTTCCAATATTGTTCATGTATTTTCTTGTAGAGCTTTTACCAACAATCCATATATGTCATTACATGTATGTCTTAGATCAAGTAAGCACCCAAACAACCTGTTGTACATACTAACAGCAAAATTCAATGCCCCGTTTACTTGTCTAAAATCTTTTTTTGGTACGTTAACTTTCTTTTTATAAAAAAATAGTATTATATGTTGCAATTTGTATCATTTTTGGGATATTAATCATTAAAAACTAGTATTTGATCCTGTGCACATGCACATATACAAATAAAATTTTATATGTTTTATGTGTGTATTTAAAATCATAAGTTACATAATTAAGATATCAAATTTTATATATTTAATCATTAGTAAAAATGCACGCTACAACTTAAATGACTTTATGTAGCACCAAAGAAATGATACGTAAAAGTTATAAAATGTTACCTAAAAACTATAAAATGTTACTATACACAATATGTAATACAATATTGGCGCTACAGTTGTTTGTGCTACCTAAAGGTAAAAAATAATACTTTTGATAGTTTTTGGTAACACTTATATGATACTTTTGCTAATTTTTTGTAACACTTATATTAAAAGTGTTACAATAATATGATACATAAACCAATAATTGTAAAGTATTACAGTAAATGCTGTTACCTAAAGTCATTTATGAAATATAAACTATTAAGTTACATATTAATCTTTATAATGATTGCAATAATATAATTTTTGCAGTTGATTAAAACCAATTGATCAAATAAAAATAATATTAAATTATTATTATAGCAATTATGAACGAAATTTTAAAGGTTTGATTGTATCATAAAAAAAATTAATTAATTTTAATAAAGAAAACTTGCTTACTGAGTTA